TGGCACACTGAGCATGGCTCGAGGTGAGAGAAAATCTGATGGCACCTAAACATCAGCCACCGAACAAGCATCTTTCCGTCGCATGTTAGTAAAGAATCACAAGCCGACACAACAGCACGAGGCTGATTGGCGCCTAATTATACAGCGACCACGTTCTCCAAAGTGTCACCACCAAAGTTTCTCAGGCTGTCACGTTCGGCGTTTTTGTTATAGCACTTTTCTAGCCAATTGACGCGGTACAGAGCGGTGATGCTTGGCGATAGACTACAGCCGTGATCAGAAGCCATTAACGCAACATGCCCAAATCATGCAGTATTCCCATCTGGCAATACTGCAGTGGCTTGCAACGCACTATCCTACAATCCTCTACCTAACAGTCCCTAAAAGACTCGAAACAAGAGGACAGACAGCGGTAGCGGACACGACCGTTTATTAGTATCGTGCCAGCCAAGTGTGTGTCTTGGTGTGTTGATGAGTGAGCGGGTGACAAACGACTGATAATAGTCACCAATAAAATAGAGATGAGTATTTGACACCTCCAGGTCAGTAAGCAGGCTACACTCACACGTGATTGCTGATGATCCGCTACGAAACGGCAGCCTAGTTGAGCTTGTGGAAGTCACCATTGAATATGCCAGTCCGCATGCCGATTCTGCACACAAGCTGGATACGTTGCATCATTGTGCATTGTGAAATGACGGCAAGCGAAGTCCGGCTGACGTCAGGCATTCGGATGGTGCCAGAGTCAGATGAATTTAGCCCGTGGGGAACTCTGAACGTGGCAACACTGTTGCCGGTACCAGGAGCCTTATGTTGTTAATCAAGGCTGAGCGATTTGAGGAATGTCATAACGTCGACGCGGAGAATTCAGCGAGTAATACCAACACAGCCGGTGGCAGTTCAAGTTGACACTGTCGCTGATCCCACATCTCTGTGTGGATAACACCAGAGGATTGCAACACAGACATGCGGTTACCACTAATGCGTGCATTTGCAGGAAGTGCCTCAGAGAGTGGATGCCCTGTGTGGTTCACGAGCACTTCCTGAGTCTCCTGCAGCAGCTTGTGTGTGTGTGTGTGTGTGTGCACGGGCTGGATCAACTCAACTTGTTCCTCTTCGAAATCGTACCTCAATCTAAGTACAAATAAGCAGTACTGCCGATCGTGTCCAATTATGCACAGATTAAGCCATGCGGAAGATGATTACGCGTGCACTAATTCGAATACAATAGTTAAAATTCAAACGGCTCATTCAGCAGATGATGGTATTTCGACGGAAACATGCCAGGCACACTGCCGAAGACAACTACTTCAACCAAACCACCAGGCTGAGCCAACCATAAGTCGCACCTCAACCACCACAATGATAGCAGCAGTAGTGGAACAGCAGTGGCATGTTTTCGTTGGCGTTGTTTTCGCAGCCACCGTTGCTCGTGTGTAGCTGTGAATGTGTTTTGTCACTTAGTATTTGGTTGCGTGTACCCACATCCCCTTAACTGCTCCAATTGTCGATTGTATGCGAAACAGGAGGCTTTTATCAGAGTCGTCGATGACTGAGGTGCTCTGTGCAAACACCCACAGGGGCCGTTGTGAACAGGGCGTTGAGTGGAATGGACGCGTGTGTAGGAGGCGAGGGGAGTTGAAGGCGATTGCACAAGTGTCAGTAGCCATGACGAAACTGCCAGATGCCGTCCATGTCTGCGACGAAATTTGGCGTGGTTGTGAAGTGAGCCCGTGGAATGGATGCGCGGTACGTGGATCTGCGAGGTGAAACACGTGCAGGTGATGAGGCTTGACTCGGCCTCCATCTGCGTAATCAACCGCCGCTGACCCGGTTTTCGCCATGCTCACGTGACTACCGCCGAAACCTTCCGTGAATCACAATGTGCGGCGTGACCTGGTTCAAATAATGCTGCTGTAGGCACAAGTCCTAAACCGCTTTCCTGCTTGTGTGCTGCACTCGGGCAGCGCTGTTTTTACGAAATCGTCAAACCAAACAAATCATGCATAATGTTTGTTGACACCGTTTCGTTGTCTGCAGGATCACGCCTGATGCATGCCGTGGTTCATTCACCATAAACACCCTGATCTGGCCGTCATCAGTCACCAATCACAAAACCGGTTTCTCGATATCTTGGCATGCCGACCTGCCTGAATGCGGTTGTTGTCACATTTTAACGGCACAGCCGTTCTCCGCTTGGTTTGCTGCACGTGTCGTCCCTTGTCAAAACACAACCACTGCAAAAATATGACCTTAATTATGTCGGTTAGAAAGATAGTGTCACGTTAGTGCTGTTTTCAGAAGTGGAAGATAGAGTTTTCAGCTAACACACTACTTCCTCCCGACCCATCCCTATTACGTCAAACCGACATTAGTCAGTTCTCACTAAGGCACTGACGAAGAAAACTGAATGAGGCAGGAATAATTGTCATTGCTATGCACTAAGGGCTTCGAATGCAACAGTGCAGTGTCAGTTAAAACGGTAAAAACAGGCACGGGATTCATTAAACCACTTTAAATACGCAAACATCGCGAATTCATAACAAAATTTGCTCGCTTTGAAAATCACAAGTAACAGCAAACACCCCCACATTTCGCTCTAACTAAAAGCCTAGATGTGGATGCAATTGTGTGTGTGTGTGTGTGCGTGCATTCATCGCTGATGTTCATGCATAACCTCACTCAGTATTGAGATTTCTTCTTGATTGTTCTCTTGCTGTCCCATCCGCGTTCCCTTCCACTCTGTGAACGAACTCACACACACATGCACACACCCGATCACCTGCACACATATCCTCTCCACATGCTGTCTGGCGGTTCCGTTCACATCATCACATCGTCCTCTCAGCATTCTCTGGGGATCAACTGGCAGTCCGCTGAGACCTGCAACTTGATGAGTCCCACGTGTCCACAACTAGGGAATGCGGATTTATTCCGTAAATACTTAACAGGGCATGAAGCTAATGCATGCACGTGGAATTAATACAAGGATCTACAAATCGACAAATGCAGAGTATACACTGTGCAAGGGTTACTTGAGTGACATTCCCGACATCGACTTGTGCTTTGTGGGTGCCCATGTCATTTTGTCAAGCGAGTCAATGATAATGCAGACGACATTTGTGCCTAAAATGGACTTGGACAACACTTGTTAAATTGAATGTCACTGAATTGGACCTGGAGCAAGAGATCGTGAAAAGTGCGATTTGTGTCGAGTGTTTGTTGTGGGCCCCAGCATGTGGTCTTGAAGCACGCCGGGGCCACGGAATTAACCCTGGCCCGACTACGTTTCCCTGATACCCGCGATGAAGAAAAAGATCGGAGAGGACGGGACACAACCGTTTACTTCAGAGCTCAACCTCTTTGTTGTCGTTGTGTCGTGTTTGGGGCTTGTGCGTGTATGTTTATACCTCAGATGTGTGAGTCATACACGCGCTAACATCGAGACCCAGGTGTGAGGATAATCCAAGGTAAACATCAGTGTGAATGAGGGGGAGTTGAGGATCCGCGCGGCTGGCGACATGCTGCGAAAAGGGGAACCCTATGTCACAGTTGGGGCGACCTTATTAAGTTGTGTGAATAAACACGATTCATAACATGCTCAATCAAGCACGACAAGGTATTTGTCCAGCAAAACGTGACAACGTGAAAGCAATACATTTTAAGGGCACAGACGAGATTTGTAAAGGTTGTTGTGAATTCAGTCGTGGTCCTTAACTGCAGCATGTCACGTCAATTTCACCTATTTACTGAGACATTATTAGCACCTGCCAAGCAACACCGAGCCTCATACGACCACAAAGTTACGGCAAATGCTGCGTTTACGACGTAAACATTGCTTGCCTGGTTCGGAATGCACCGTCGCGGGCAAGGATTATTGGTGGTCGGTTTCGGTAAATGCGCCGAGGAAATTCATTGGGTTAGGCTGTCTCTTTCGAGATTCATACAATTAACTAATTTACACAGACCTCCTACTACATGGCACTGTAATAGAACCAGTTCAGCCCAGCATCAGTCGTGTGAAACTGGAGACGGACGTGCACAGAAATTGTTCATAAAGTGAGATCGTAAGGGTGCAATTAATTTTGTCTTTATTTAGTCTATCGTACTGCTGGGAATCGCACGTGCGCTCGGGTATTGCTGACGGTTACATCAGGTGACTTAGTGCAAATTAGGCCTCAACGCTTCGTGGCTGCATGTCAGGTGTGTGTCGCGCACACAACAATTCGCAACATTTCACACTTCAACTGGCCGCATTTATCTCCTTCACGCAGCACGAAAGAAATGCAGGTCGCGCGGAAATG